GGGAGGGGGAGGGGAACGGGGAGGGAGGGTGGGGGGTGTATTAGTCTAATAGAAGGTCTTCATAAATAACTCCACTGAACCTCCTCTGCAGCCAGTGACGAGGAAACTTTATTTGTACTGCAGCCTTCACAACAACGAGTATAACACGAGGGAGGGGGAGAAGGGGGAGGGAGGGGACGAGTCCCAGCCACAAAAAGAAAAAGACAAACAAGTTGTTTGAGGGACACGGACGTCATGTAGTTCAGGATCCAGTCTGTCTTTACAGCCTCAGCAGGTTTGTTACCTGGTGCTGCACTGAACCAGACCAGAACCAGAACAAGACCAGAACCAGACCACTGCTGCTGGATCAACACAGAGAAACAAACACATTCAGGGTAGTTTGATCTGAGCTTAATGAGTGAGGGAGGGAGTTCAGAGTGATTCACACTGTGTGTGTGTGTGTGTGTGTGTGTGTGTGTGTGTGTGTGTGTGTGTGTGTGTGTGTGTCAGGTTCCTGGCTAACGGCAGAGTGAGGACTGTGTCCAGTCCTGTTGTTGAGGAAGAAGTTCCACCCACCATCGCTGCAGAGCTGAAAGCAGCACACACACACCGACGCACACAGGTACACACACAGGTACACACACAGGTACACACACACACACTCTGACACACCTGAGACACAGGTGTTTATGTTGTTTTCATGTTTTCATAGAAAAAGAGGAAGAAAGTTCATAAAGTTCCAGCAGAGGTGACGAGAGAGCGCTGCCCGAGTACAGCCCCGCCCCCAGGTACACACACACACACACACACACACACACACACACACACACTCACACCATTACAGCAGCTGGTCACACTGAACCAAAGACTGCCTCAATAAGGTCCTGACAGACCAGTCTGTCCTTAGGACCCTCATCATCAGGTTCTTCATGTTCACGTCATACAGAGAACAACAGTGTCTGTGTGTGTGTGTGTGTGTGTGTGTGTGTGTGTGTGTGTGTGTGTGTGTGAACTAAATCCTGGTTGTTGATGTCTCCATCAGAGCCCAGCAGTCTGTCCTCTGTGTCTCTGGGTCAGCGACTTCCTTTCCCAGCATTCCCTCTGAGGGTCTCCCTGCCCCCTCTGGCCCTCCCCTCGGGACCGGTCCAGGCCGCCGCCCCCCCAGCTGAGTACCACTCGGACTCTGCCGAGTCTCTGGAGGAGATCCCGGTGGCGTTGGCCAAGCTGGGCTCTTCGTCCTCAGCTGCTGCCGGAGACGCCTCCTCATCCTCGCACAGAGCGGTGCCAGCGTTCCCCCTCCCCTCCCCCCATCCCAGGACTAAGAGGAAGGCCCCCCCCACCCGTGCTAATAAGAGTGCAGCAGAGCTGAGGTTTGAGATGGCGTCCATCCAGCCTCCCACCGTGTTTGTCAGCCGGGCCAGCGGAGAGGAAGTCCTCAGTCTGGGCAGGAGGCAGGCCGGCTCCAGACCCGGGTCTCGTGCGTCGCTGGGCTCAGGTGCAGCCTCGTGGATGGAGCGATAACATGAGACTCTTTTGTCTTTCTATAGAAACGCACAACTGTCTTTATTTCACTCACTTATATTTCGAAATGTTTTTTAATTCCGACTTTTACTTTTTAAATCTGATGCCAAAGGTGACATCCTGTCTGTGCACAACCTTTATACTTGAGGACGTGTGTTACCTGAACCACATCAGCTGTTCATTGTGTTAGTGGATGTTTGACTCTCTGCCCCCTCGCCCACACACACACACACACACACACACACACACACACACACACACACACACACACACAGGATGCCAGTGCTAATGCTAACACCCTGGTCAGATCTGTGGAGCTCCACAAGAACCAATATTAAATCAATCAATGAATAAATACAGAAACAAACATCAGAGATTAAACTTTGAATTTAATCATTAAATTATTAAAAATCACAAAAACTTGTTTTATTTATTTAAAAATATTTTTTATTTCAAAAAGCTTTTTTTTACTTTTATTTCACCTCTCAGCCAATCAGAGAGCTCCTCCTCTTCCTGTCTGACAGACTGAGCAGTTCATTACAGTCTCTAAGCTAAGCTAAGCTAACCAGCTGAGTAGGACCACGTGAACAAGAGGTTTCTGGTTTTTTCACCTGTTGCTGATTTTACCTGTTTATCAATAAATGAAAAAAATGGATCAGTTTCCTGTTTGTCTGTCTCCACCTGCTGATCCTGTTCCTGTTCCTGGTCCTGGTCCAAATCCTGAACCTGAACTTGAACCCGGTCCTGATCCTGAACATGAACATGAACCTGGTCCTGGTCCTGATCCTGATCCTGATCCTGAACCTGGTCCAGGTCCTGCACCTGGTCCTGATCCTGAGCCTGGTCCTGTGCCTGGTCCTGAACCTGGTCCTGGTCCTGAACCTGAACCTGAACCTGGTCCTTGTCCTGAACCTGAACCTGAACCTGAACCTGAACCTGAACCTGGTCCTGGTCCTGATCCTGAACCTGGTCCTGGTCCTGAACCTGAACCTGAACCTGGTCCTTGTCCTGAACCTGAACCTGAACCTGGTCCTTGTCCTGAACCTGAACCTGAACCTGAACCTGGTCCAGGTCCTGCACCTGGTCCTGGTCCTGGTCCTGAACCTGGTCCTGCTCCTGGTCCTGGAGGCTGAGCCACATGTTAGTCTTCAGTCTGACGCAGACTCCTGACAGGGAGGTCCTTCACTTGATGCAGCTCTCTGTGATGTGGATCATTTCAGAATAAAAGTCATCAGAGGTTCAGTTTTTATTTTCTGGGCAGTGAACGCATCATATTTATTAAACTCTTTTGTCCCCATCAAGCTCCTGTATGAATGATTCTTTTTTCCAGTCATCTAATTGGTCAGTAGTAACCCTTACCCTGCTCCATGAAAAACGTTACCATGGTGGTCTATCCCAGTGAGATTCCTGGAAACCAGAGTGAAGCCCAGAGAGACGTGGATGACCCCTGACCCCCCAACCCGCAGGGGTCTGCAGGTCTCAGTCTGAGAAGTCTGCGGCTCCTGAGAGTCCTCAGCTGAGTGAGAACACCTGAGTTTTCAGGTGGCCGCACCTGGGCCCCGCCCCCTTGGCTGAGGGCTGTGACCTCCTGCTGGTTTAAACTGTTTGACATCTCAACAGGAAACAGGAAGATGGACAGAGACGGCCCCGCCTCCTCGACCTCAGGTGTGAACTTAGGCGAGTGAAGTGTGAATGTTACAGATGATGACGTGATTTGAGAGAACTTCCCACTGCTGTGACAGTGACACACTGTGACACACTGATCAGGGTCTCTGACATCATCAGTAAGGGACTTGTAAAGAAGCAGTCTGAGGTTTTTCTCAAAGTTGACAAATCTTTAAAAACTCTTCACTAATATAAAGTTTAATTTTAAAATGTCTCAGTCACTTCCTCAAACAGCTGATCACTGATGTCATCAACCCAACAGGAGAAAACAGAGACTTGGGGACTATTTTCAGCGGTGGATTAATCCATATTTGGTGCTGTAGAGAGTGTGACCGAGTCTAATAAACTACAGTGTAACAGTCCGTGAACTGATGAACTGATGAGTTTCAGACACAGGAGTGTGCGTGCGTGCATATTTCTGCTGGATTTAAAGTGACAGTTCTTCAGAGCAGGTCTCTCCTGGTTTGTTCCGTTTCCATCATCAGTGTTTGAGGAGCAGCTTAATTAAAAAGCATGTGGAGTCCTGATGGTTCATTAATTCATTAGTTCATTATTTTATTAGCATCACAGTCAGCTGACGTCACCAGCTGGTTCATACAAACCAGTTTCAGACTGAACTGGAACGAGCTGCTGCAGCATGAAGTCAAATTAAAGCTAATGAATTAGATTCATCATCAGGCTTTTATTTTGACAGGCTGATAACAACTGTGTGTGTGTGTGTGTGTGTGTGTGTGTGTGAGTGTGTGTGTGTGTGTGTGTGTGTGTGTGTGAGTGTGTGTGTGTGTGTGTGTGTGTGTGTGTGAGTGTGTGTGTGTGTGTGTGTGTGTGTGTGTGAGTGTGTGTGTGTGTGTGTGTGTGTGTGTGTGCGCGTGTGTGTGCGTGTGTGTGCGTGTGTGTGTGTGTGTGTGTATGTTGCATGTCATCATCCCTCCACGATGTGAGGTGAGGTTGCCCCAGCAACAAGCCCCGACAACATCATAACAGCGTCAATCAAAAGGAGTGGCAACGAGAAGTATGTCACACACACACAGAGTGGTTTCATCACTTCAGAGGACATTTCTTCTGTTTCGTCCTCACCTTGGTTTTTGTCTGTAAAATAAGTTCACAAAGGTAAGGAGTGTATTATATCTCCACAACAACAAATAACACACACACACACACACACACACACATTTGGTACAAACATTCACTAGGACTCAAGGACAAACTGATTAGACTTCAGCGGTCAAAGGTCAAAGGTCACGGTGACCTCACAAAACACTTTTTAGCACACAGACATTATGACAAAATGACACACACATGGTTACTATTTTATGTTTATATCAGTGCAGATTCATGTGTTCACTCTGACATTAACACGGTCATGTGACTCTGTCCTGGTCTTCCTGATCCCCGGAGACCCCCCCACCCCCATCCCACCGAACAATATGATGTCATCCTCACGTCCTCCCAAACTGACAGCTGCTTCCTGCTGACATGACCACTGACATGAGGTAATTTCCTGCTACTGACACACGCACGCACGCACGCACGCACGCACGCACGCCTGTTCTTCATTGTTCTTCACTTCAGAAACAAACAAATTGTTTACCCTCTGACTCTGTGTGTCTTTTCGTGTGTGTGTGTATCTGTGTGTGTCTGTGTGTGTGGGTGTGTGTTTTCACATCTGTCGTCATGGAGACAGGTTGGAACTGTTTGTTCTCCAAACTGAAAAACAGTGTTTCTCTGATTAAAGTTTCAGTCTGTCTCTGCTCTGATCACAACAGCAGCAGGTGTGCTCTGTCACACCTGTGACCACACCCAGCAGTGATGTCACAGTGTACTCCAGGACACTTTCACAGTAAGTAATGGGCCTCCGTCGTTAAAGGCGCCGTCCATCGGCTCCGACCACAGATGACGTTGGGTCGAGTCCAGACTTGGTCCTGAGTGAACATCAGTCAGCTGATCTGAGATGAGACGTTTTGTCACAGTCAGAAGCTGAAGCAGCAGCTTGTTGGAGATCTGCAGGTTTGAGCTTGTTCTGTTTTATATTTGTGCTTCATTCTCACTGTGCGTGTGTCTATATATATATACTGTATGTATATATGTATAAACATGTATAAACATTTGCTTTATTACATTACAACTGCTTTATTTCTATTAGAACTTGTCAGGGAGCACTGAGTGATCCCTCTGACCTTTGACCTCAAGCTCCAGGAGCCAACAGGAGCATGCATGGACGTCCTGCCCCTGTCAGCCTCCTCCTCCCTCCTCCCTCCCTCCCTTTTTCTCTCTCTCTCCCTCCCTGCCTCTGTTTTATTGCCCTCCCCTGATGTTGGACAGGATGTCGCCATGGCGACAGGGTAAACACATGATAACAAGCCCTCAGCACTTGGAGCTCATTTGAATGCTGCGACCGCCGCTGAGGGCCAGAAGAGAGAGAGGAGAGACGGAGGTGACGAAGAGACAGAGGAGGACAGAGGATTGACAGGTAGGACGCTGTGTGTTTTAATGCTGGACACATTGTTGAGACAGATATATAGATATATAGATATATCTATATATCTATATATATTTATGTTTTGTTTGAATTATTGAAGTGTTTCATCTGGAGTCCAGCAGCTTCTTCATGTGCAAATTTACACTGATACACAGAGCTACAGGAAGATGATCAATATGATGAAGATGATGAAGATGATGACAAATATGGAAGAATATAAATATATAACAGGACTCATATTAGAGCTGATTAATGGATCATTTGCTTCATTAATACTAATAATTGATTATCTTGTAGTTTATACACTTGATGACCGTCATCTTTAAAATGTCAGATGATCATTAAGAGTCAAAGTTCATGTGAAAAGTTTTTGTCTGAAAACAACAAACAGCAGCGACCTGTCACGTGATGTTCGTCAATCTAATAAAATCTGAAAAATCTGAAAATCTGATTAAAACTGTTGCTAATTATTAATTTGTCACTTGACTGATCGATGAATCAGCTGATTTTTTGAGCTGGTGTTTGTTGTACGACGTCGTTCATGTTCATGGTCTCATCTGCAGTCAACATCTGTTCATGTTAAGGGTAGTTTGGGGACAGTTGGTAAATCTGTGTTTCACCGTTTGTTTGTGGGCTATGTGTGGACACTCAGGCAGCACACACACACACACACACACACACACACACACACACACACACACACACACACACACACTGAATGATGTAAATCAGCTTGTATTATTCAAACAGACCTGCAGCTAACAATTATTGATTATTGATCAGGTGTTATATTGATCATTTAAGTCTGTAAAATGTTCAGGTAAAGAGGAAAAGACAGAAGAAGAATATTCATTTTTATATGAGAACCAGCTTAAACAATTAATGAATGATCAAGATGAATATTGATTATTTTTCATTGATTAAATAAACTGTGTGTGACTGACATGGAGCCTCATCGGCAACAAGTCATTTAATACATCATCACTTCAGATCCTTCAGTCCCCCATGTCCCTGTGTCTCTGTCCTGCAAAGGTGTGTGCAGTGCACAGGTGTGTAGGTGTCAACCAGTCTAACAACCACTCTACCTGCAGGAGGATTCCGACCCTCCACTAACAGAGAAGGTGACGTCAGAGACAATCACTCATTTAACTGACAGTTCATCCATTGAGACTCCAGAATAACTCCAGAGAAACAGAGTCTGAGAACGTCACTGAGAATACTGATCACAGCTGATCACAGCTGATCACAGTGTGATCAGATACAGACTGAAACACAGACACAGCAGAACTGACTATGGGATCAGCTGATTTCATCTCCTGATGATTCATGATATGTTATGTTAAATTAAAGAAAACCGTCACAGTGACTCATCATGTGTCGTGATTCATGTTGTAGCTGCCTTGGACCCGTTCAGATGAAGTCAGACTGACAGTGACTGTGACAATCTGTGTGGTTTGTCTTTGAACTGATCGTCAACTGGTTTCCTGTCTCAGATATTTTTCCATCATGGCTGAGAGTGCGGACATGGAGCGGCTCCTGGAGGCTTTCAGGAAGTTTGCTGTTCATGGAGACACGAAGGCGACGGGGAAGGAGCTGAATGGGAAGAACTGGGCCAAACTCTGCAAAGACTGTAAAATCATCGATGGCAAGAACATCACCGGCACCGACGTCGACATCGTCTTTTCCAAAGTCAAGTGAGTCTGTGGACCAGGTCCAGAATCCATGAACAGTCAGTGATGCAAAAACACATCAACTCCTAATGGGTTTCACTTCATCAATATTGGTGATTTCTGGTCACTTTTTCACACTGGACACATGGAGTTAATACCAATAATAATAACAATAATAATAATAATAATAATGTTAATAACAACAACAACAACAATAATAAAAATAATAATAATAATAATAATAATAATCATGATATCATGGTAGAAATAAAAGTAAAATCAAAAAACTGATAATGTTTGAAAGATACATTTTCTAAAATGATTGATGAAAAAAAAGGATCCACATCGTCACTGTGTGTGTGTCTGTGTGTGTGTGTGTGTGTCTGTGTGTGTGTCTGTGTGTGTGTGTGTCTGTCTGTGTGTGTGTCTGTCTGTGTGTGTGTGTGTCTGTCTGTGTGTGTGTCTGTCTGTGTGTGTGTGTGTCTGTCTGTGTGTGTGTCTGTCTGTGTGTGTGTGTGTCTGTCTGTGTGTGTGTCTGTCTGTGTGTGTGTGTGTCTGTCTGTGTGTGTGTCTGTCTGTGTGTGTGTGTGTCTGTCTGTGTGTGTGTCTGTCTGTGTGTGTGTGTGTCTGTCTGTGTGTGTGTCTGTCTGTGTGTGTGTGTGTCTGTCTGTGTGTGTGTCTGTCTGTGTGTGTGTGTGTCTGTCTGTGTGTGTGTCTGTCTGTGTGTGTGTGTGTCTGTCTGTGTGTGTGTCTGTCTGTGTGTGTGTGTGTCTGTCTGTGTGTGTGTCTGTCTGTGTGTGTGTGTGTGTGTGTTTGTGTGTGTGTGTTTGTGTGTGTGTGTGTGTGCAGACAGAAGACGTCTCGGGTCATCACCTACGAGGAGTTTCACAGAGCTCTGGAGGAGTTGGCTCCAAAGAGGTTCAAAGGTCAAAGTAAAGAGGAGGCGCTGCGCTCCATCTCCACACTGGTGGAGGGTGGGGAGCCGTCCAATGTGGGAGTGACGGTGAGAAACCTGTTTACAGTGCAGGTGTTGGTCTGGACCTGTTAGAGACCCTGCAGGTTCTGGTCTGCGTCCCCTTCAGAAAACATTTCCTCTACATTTACAACAAGAAAATAAAACAGTGTCATCTGCATATAGACGGATGTTGTTGTAGTGATTAATTCACGGACACTTCAGAGAAGACGTCACTTGGACACTTAGTGGAGCAGACAAAACATCTGCATTTTATGACTGAAGCATGAAAGTTTCAGCAGATAATCTTCCTTCCCCCGAGGTTCCAGTTTCTGCCCCATCATTTGTTAGAATCATGTGTTTGTTTGTTCTAATAAAGATGATTATTTTCTGGCCATGTAGCATATTTGTTTTTACAGGGGGGCTGCAGGTATTAATGTAGCTGTAGCTTGTTAACCATGACAACTTCTGCTGCGTGTTCTATGGAATTACATCACTGCTCCTAACCATAACCCTAACCAGAGCAGCACCTGTTACTCTCCTCACCTGGTGTCTGTCAGGCAGTTGAGACCTGGTCTGTGAATTGACTTCCTGTTGTCTCCGTTTCCATCAGAAAGTGGCGAAGACGGCAGCTGTGGACCGTCTCACCGACACATCCCGCTACACCGGATCACACAAGGAGCGCTTTGATGAGAGCGGCAAGGGCCGAGGTCGGGAGGGGCGGGAGGAGCTCGTGGAGAACACGGGCTACGTGGGAGCGTACAGGAACGCCGGGACGTACGACACCAAGATGAAGGCTGAGAAATAGCAAGGGGGAGGGGGCAGCGCCTCCTGCTGGGAGCTGACAGGTAGTACAGCTCCTCTACAGCACTTAGTCTGGATCGAACCTTGAACTTTGAACCCTGTGTGTGTGTGTGTGTGTGTGTGTGTGTGTGTGTGTGTGTGTGTGTGTATGTCTTCATGTTCAGACCATAAACTCATGGATATGACGGAAGTGATGCAGTAGAGAATTCAGGACCAGGTCTCTCCAGCACCCCCCTGAGGTGATTACACACACCACTGTTGCTCCAGGTCTCAGTCCAGTCCCATTCAGACTGGGTCTGGGTTATAGATGAGATCCTGGTCCAGAACCATGAGTTCTGGTACTTCAGCCTCTCCTCCCCAGTGGTGTGGATCCTGTCTGAATGGGGTTTCAGTTTGTTCTTTTTGTGTCAGCCGGTCCAGACTTTAGTCCTGTCACAGCATCAGTCCTCAGAATCTCACTCAGTCATGTGTCTTCAGTCTGCAACAGCTTCTGGATCCATGATGAAACCTGAACCTGAAGCCATGTTGGGTTTTTTTCTTTCTAATATAAGATTTTTTCAGCGTCGTTCTTCTTCTGCAGTCTAATAATGTTGAAATGTTTATGTCTGCCTAAAGCTCTTTGACTGGAGTTGATGCAGGTGCAGAAACTGGAAGTGGAAATGACTTTATCTACTGAATAAAGACCAAAAACAGAGTTCTGTGTTATGTCTTTGTTCTCCTGTTGTTCCACTGCAGGAACCTTTGAGACGCTGCTGTCTCAGTATGACACACATGTGACGGTGGTTAAAGGTTCCTGAAAATGTTCTTGTATCTCTGCAGGGCCTTATAGCAGGGTGACAGTCTCAGTCTGATGAAATATAATCACATAACAATCATTTTAAAGCCACAGCTTCCTGTAAAGGAACTGATACAAGAACCTGTTCACACAACAGAGAATCATACAGTCAGTGGTTCAGTCAGTTTCTCAGCCAGTGTCACTTTATTTTATCATATATATATATATATATATATAATATTATACTATAATTTATATACACATATATATACATATATCATTTATACATATATAATTTATTTATTATTTATTTATTTATAGTTTTAGTTATTTGTAGTTATTATATATGTTATTATATCAAGCAGCTTCTTAGTTTCTCCAAACTGAACCAGAGTGAACCCTCTTCACATCATCTCAGCTGCTTCACTGAAACTGAAAACCTTACATGTTGTTGGTCTCACCCAGTCCACATTGATGCATGTCCACTCACCTGATGCTCGTCTCCTAAGGTGGACCAGACACCTGTCAGGACTGGTCCAGACTACAAGATTTTTGTCCAGACACATGTTTTTGATGTGTTTCATGTGTGTATATTAAAATTCACATGGTTTTAGCTTTATATGTGAATGCTAGTTTTAAAGGTGAAAAGGATAGAGCCATGTGTGAAGTGGAACTTTTCACATGAATGCAAACTTTTATGTGGGCTAACCCATGTGGGGCTTACAGCAGTTTTTCCCTTTGGGGCCTCAAGGGTTAACTGGGAGCAACCCCCTGTGTCAACAGCACACAGTTAAAACACTGTGTGAAGATTATAAATGCTCTATACTCAAACCTTTTTAATTAAAATTGGAAAATTAGTTTTAGATTGAGAGTTTGGCTCCTCATGTGTGGACCAGAAACAGCTGATATTCAATTTAAAGAAAGTTTATCACATGTAGAAAGAAAAAGAACATTTTGTATTTAAGAATGTACAGTAAGGGTTTATTGGGGCTGTGGTTGAGAGGCCTGGAAACAAATAAAACAAACAAATGAAAAAAGCACTGCTAATATGATTATACAATAAATACTGTAATTATGATATAATGTTGACATTAAAATGAAAAACAACACAAATTGAATCCTGAGTACAGACTGGTTCACACTGAAATAAATATTGGACTAGTTTTCATGAGCAACATTGTGGTAATAAACTGATTCATACATTATCAGTTATTGGAGAGGGAACAGACTCTTCTCTACAACAGTGATCGTTTGTTGGATGATTTCATGACACCAACAGTTGAATTTGAGTTTAGACTCACATCCCCCCATTAACTGAGGACCTCTGAAGTACAGATGAAGCAGGCAGAGAGGTGACTGAAGCCCAGATGCTCAGAGGTGAGTTTAAATTTAAACTGGGCTGTCATGACAGGTCACAAAACATTAGCATTAGTATGCTAACGTTAAGGCTGTAAGCTAACATTAGCTAACTTATCTTATTTTGTAATAGCTTGCAAAGAACGATGTTAACGAGCACATTACATGTAATGTTTCAGCACGTTAGCATTTCGGGCCGTTCTAGTGGGGTGTTGGGTGGGGGGGCAAACTAAAGTTATTATGATTGCTAATGTTAGCTAGAGCTAGCTCGCTAGCTAATGTGAAATGACGCCTTTAGCATGCCTAGCTAGCTCACCACTTAAAGTTTTGTCTAGCTTCACTGTCTAATGTAAAATTGTAATATAAATTGCTGTAGACTGTAAATTATTGTAAAATAATGGCGCTTGTAGCTAGCTGGCTAATTTTGTGGACAGAATTATCACGTCTATGCTGGGGGGCCGGCGGCCCCTCGTCGGGAGCCGGAACCGGCTCCGGTAGCTCCGGTAGCTCCGGCTTCCGCTGTTCAGGGTCCGGCTCCCGGCGAGGGATCGGCGGCTCCAGGGCCGATTGAGTCTGCTGGCAGCGCCGGGTTGAGCATTGCCGTTCCCGGCGGGGATCCCGCTGATGGTGCCCCCCCTGCTTGTTCTGGGAATGAGGGGGCTGAAAAAGGTGATCAGCGTCAGGGTGAGTCTGATTCTGCAGCTCTGATTGAAGACAGGTCAAAGCCTGCTGATAAAGGTTCGAGTGAAAGTGAGTCGTCTGATAATGAGGATATTTTTGTAGACGAGGATATGTCAGATGATGAATTGTTAATGGTGTCACAGAAAAGGAAAAATCAGGAGTCTGTTCAGAGCAGAGCAAAGGTTTTAAGAGCAGGGAACCCGAAAGTTAGGAAGTCAATGGAGTCGGAGAGTGACTTCTCACTGACACAAGACGATCAACAGAGTCTTTACTCTCCTGATGACATTACAACATTTCTGAGGGAAACTAAAGGCCACAGGCTGGTAAGATTGGAGAACTTTTTCCCTGTTCTCAAACTCTTCGTTAAATCAGCAAGGCCCCTTACTTTGAAATCCGCAAATTTAGGGGATGATGTTATATCTGAGCAGGAAGTCCACAGACCACGTAAACTGGTTCACAAGATCAGAACCAAGGAGCTCCATGAAGATATTTAACAATAAGTATTTTTCTTATTTACTGTTATGTTACTTTCTTGTGTTTTTCCTCTCTCTCTCCATGTGTGATTTTAAGATAGGCACTTTAAATATTAATGGAGCTAGAGATGACGGTAAAAGGGCTGCTCTCTTTAAATTGTTGAAACATATTGATATCATGATGGTTCAGGAGACACACAGTACCCCTGATATTGAGAGTGACTGGAGGAGGGGATGTTCTGGGGAGGTCATCCTGAGCCACAAGTCCAGCTGTAGTGGAGGAGTGGGGATTGTTTTCTCCAGGAGCTTCCTGCCTGCTTCATACACTGTGGACGAAGTAATTAAAGGCTGTATACTTAAGGTCACAGCTCAGTTTGAACGGGTCTGTGCTGTTTTTATCTGTGTTTATGCTCCAACCAATGGAGTGCAAAGAGTAGCAGTCCTTGATGTTGTATGCTGTACTATCAGGAACTGTAACAGAGATGAATATTTATTTGTGGGGGGCGATTTTAACTGCACTGAAAATCCGAGTTTGGATAGAAACCACCATGAACCTCCTGCTTCGTCACACAGGTTCAGACAGTTGACAGAAGCACATGAGCTGTCAGATGTGTGGCGGAGTTTTCATGCACATCACAGGCAGTACACCTGGAGTCACTGCAAAGATAACAAAATATCTCTGGCCAGGTTGGACCGTCTGTACGGTTTTAGGCATAGTTTGAACGTTTTTAACAGTTGTCACATTACCCCTGTTGGTTTCTCTGACCACTGTCTTGTTTTTAGCTCTGTTTTAATCAAAAATGTGCGTTTGCAGAGTGCCTACTGGCATTTTAACAGCTCATTGCTTCAGAGCAAGGATTTTTTTAATTTAATTTAATTGTGTACAACAGTGGTGGGATGTGGGCAAAGCTCAGATCAAACAGTTGTGTCAGAGGTTCACTCACAATGTCACCAGAGATTTAACCAGATCTATGCAGGACCTAGAGATTCAGGTGGTAGAACTGCAGGGTTTGGCAGATTCTACAGGAGATCGAGGGCTTTTAGATTCCCTCAAATCCAAAAAGTCGGCTCTGGCCAACCTGCTGTGCATTGCTGCACAGGGAGCTCTGGCCAGGTCACGTTTTCTAGACGTCTAACAGATGGATGCCCCCTCTCAGTTTTTCTTTGGCTTGGAGAAGAGGAATGGTCAGAGGAAGGTGATTCACTCCTTACGATCTGGCGGCGGATCTGTGATCTCAGACTCTGCTGGGATCAGGAGGCTAGCGGCCAGCTATTACACAGATCTGTTTAAGAGTGAATTCACTTCGAACCCTTCATTGTGCAGCAGTTTCCTCACTGATCTCCCTCAGGTGGAAGAAGAGGACAATGAAAAGCTGGAGTCTCTGTTAACGCTTCCTGAACTGTCTGCGGCTCTGATGAGTTTGCAGAGTGGCAGAGCTCCAGGCTTGGATGGGCTACCTGTGGACTTTTATAAGGCGTTCTGGTCAGTACTGGGTGAGGACTTGCTGGAAGTGATCTCAGCCAGCCTAGAGACGGGACGGCTGCCTCTGAGCTGTAGGAGGGCGGTCATCACCCTGCTACCAAAGAAGGGTGATCTGCAAGAGCTGAAAAACTGGAGACCTGTTTCACTGCTCTGCACGGACTATAAGATTCTGTCCAAGGTCCTGGCCACCAGACTGAGAGGGGTGATGGCTGCCGTCGTCCACACTGACCAGACTTACTGTGTGCCCGGCAGGCTGATAAGTGACAATGTCACTTTAATTCGTGATGTTTTGGAGGTCTCTGGCTCATTGGCTGCAGACACTGGTCTGATTTCAGTAGACTAGGAAAAGGCTTTTGACCGGGTTGAACACCAGTACTTGTGGCAAGTTTTAGCTGCTTTTGGGTTCAGCCCAGGTTTCATAGCCAAGATCCAGGTTCTCTATGGTGACATTGCGAGCGTGTTGAAAATTAATGGGGGTCTGAGTGCTCCCTTTGGTGTCCAGAGGGGTGTCAGACAGGGCTGTCCTCTGTCTGGCATGTTGTACTCTCTGGCCATCGAGCCTCTGCTTCACAAGCTGAGAACTGAACTGAGTGGTGTTTGTTTCCCCAACTGTGATGTCTCTTTTAAACTGTCTGCATACGCTGATGATGTCATTGTCCTGGTCAACTCCCAGACTGATATTGATATTTTAGAGAACACCGTGAACCTTTTTGGCTCTATTTCCTCAGCCAGGGTGAACTGGGGGAAGAGTGAGGCTGTCATGGTGGGGGACCGGCTGAGGGATCGGCTCAGGCTACCTGGAGGGTTGGTCTGGAGAACAGGAGGGCTAAAATATCTGGGAGTGTTTTTAGGAAATGAAACGTTTTTAAAGAAAAACTGGGACAATGTTTTAGAAAGGGTCAAAGGTC